TACGCTTAGTTATAAAATAGCACGTAACATCGATAGATTTTTGATTAGAAAGTGTGTTACGCCAAATTAAAAAAAAAATAGAGGTGATTACATATTTTATACATAGTATTATAATGTAAGTTTATATTGTGTTACAATATTGGAGGTTGTGTCGGCTATTGTTAGCACTGAGATTTAGTTTTTAAAAACGTTGCCTTGGGGCAAGTGTACGCATGCGTATACTTAGCTGCGTAAACTAATCTCAGTACTAACTATAATCAGCATAATCATCAGGTTAATTAAAAATGTTTAAGTAAGTAAGCAGTAATTTTTTATTTTAATTTTGAATGTGATTTCAATTTTATGTAAATTTGGTAAATACTCTACCAAAATCTTTGTATGTGTGAAAAACTGAAATTTATACTATATTAAGTTAATGCTTAAAAAATGTTTTAAAAATGTTGATTGCACACTTACTTCAATTACGCTTATTTATCCCGCAAGTACTGCGCATGTTTACCCGCAAGTACGGGTCAAGAGGGCACATTTGTCTCTTCGAGATAATTTTTATTTTGTGAAAATATGAAAGAAGTTGAAAATAAAATGTAATTTTTTTAAAGAAGTGTAATAAATAGGCTACACAAAGAATCATATTTTTTTATTTAAGTCTGCACATTTTTAATTAATCAAATGTCAACTAAAAAGTGCGCACGTTTACCCCGAATGACTCTAGGATTTTTAACATCCGAATTCTAGAAGGTTAAAGTTTTACTTATTTTGTAGCCAAGAGTCTTTTTATTAGAACTTAATTTTTATATTGTGTGAAATAATTATTTACGATTTATGTACATATCTTTTTATCCGTAATTTGATTTATATAAAATTTATTTTTCAATCGGAATAAATTTCTTCACATAATGTCCTTTGTGTAAATAAATTGTGTATAAATTCTTTTAAGCTACATATATCTTATGATATACATATTTCATGATTTCTTCTTAACTTTTATTTTTAGATATGGTACATCATTCATGGTATTTAATCCCTGTCACATCACAAAAACTGGTTTTATATTTATTGGCAAGAACTGGTAAAGATTATTACTTTACAATAGTCTTCGTATTTGTGGCAAAGGTAGAAAATTTTACCATGGTAAGAAGCGCTAAGAATGAAAAAACAATAGAATTTTACGAACATAAAATATGTGTACATTAAATATCTTTCTAGCTTGTTAATACTGCGCTGTCCTACGTCGCCGTGATGTATTCTATTCAATGAGATCGAAAAACACAGATCAATAACGCAATCAATGTATTAATTTTTATCTTTTCTGTCAATACACATGAAAATATAAAGAAGCATTACGCTTCTTTATAAAATGGTAATTATGTATAGTTTTGTATAAAAGAACTTCAGTTTTTGGTTTTTCATAATTATAATATACGTAATAGCACCAAATCTCTTTTTAAATATATGTATTATAATCATTACATTAATACAAATTCTTTAGATTATATTAACGAAAAATTTATTTAATTTTGAATCTATAAATTTTGGAGCTCTTTTTTTATAACTGTACATGAACTTACTGTCAATATAACAATGGTAAATGTATGTTAATGTTATACGTGTGTTAATATTATATCTATACATTCTCATATATGAATTCATAAATGACAAATGTCAAGAAGTTCGCGATATAATTATTATCAAATAAAATTACTAGAAGAAAATTAGAAACTTGGAATTTAATACATTATATTAATAATACATTATATTAATAATACATTAATTATATACTTTAAATTCTTTGATTTATATACTTTATCAAGAACTGAATTTAATTGTGATTTATTATTGCTTAAAGCAGGAACCGTGTATTGCATTAATTACTACAAATTTGAAATATTATTGGTAATTATTATCTAATATAATAAATTAGAATTAGAATGAGAAATTATAACATATTTTAGACTTATATAAACATAACTTTTATTTAAATAAGCCAATTAATATTTATGTAAATAAATTTATTTGAGAGATAATTTTATAATCTTCTATTCTTCAGATATTTCAATTGAAAACAATAATTACTTTATTTTCTGTATACTTAGAATAATTATTTTTTTTTATACCTGTTTAGTATAAAAAAATGTTTACTAACTCGAGACAGAGAGTTAACTATTACATGTACACAATCGAATTATATTTTTCCAATTAATTTGTGTATATATACATACATGTGTGTGTGTGTGTGTGTGTGTTTGTGAGTCTATATTAAAAATTTGTTGAATGAAGCAAATAAATGTACATGTGTATAGAGTGTAACTTAAATCCTGACCACTAATTACGTAGTATTATTTCTTGTAAAAAAAACTGAATCGAAAAGTCGTGAACAATTTTTTTCTACAATGCTAAATAAAGTGATTATTACTGCAGTAATTATTGCTTTATTAAGCATTATAGACAAAAATAGTTAAATAGTATTCACTAATCATATAGCATTACTCCTTATAAAAATAGCAGTGATGTCCAGGTTCAAATTTTGACTAATTGTAAGATAATATTTTTTGCAATAAGTTATTTTCACAGGATTTAAAAAGATGTTCTATGAACATGATGTTATTAGATTGCCTTAGCAATTTAATCGTGATATTACGTATTATTCGGTTTGGAGCTGCGTTTTAATAGATATGACCGACGATTATGCGGCGCGCAGTTTGTCTGAACTGATAATTGTAAGATTCACATATTATAATATTATTAACCACCAAGATCCCATTTGCACCGCGTTAGCGGTAGTTCCGCATTTCAATTGTTTGTAGACACTCCTCGGTTGATCCTGATCTTAGTTCCTTATAGAAAAATTGAGTCGAAAAGTTCTGAGCCATTTTTGACTATATAGTTCTAAATAAAGCAATCATTACTGCAGTAATTATTGCTTCAGCGAGCTCAGTCTTTTTTTAAGGAATAATGCTGTAGTTAGTGGTCGATATTTAAGATACACTCTGTAAATTTTTTTACGTTGATGTGAAGAATTGAATTAATTCAAAAGAGAGAGAGAGGCTTAAACTAATAATTTTTACAGAAATATTTATGTTTTTTCAAATATACTTTCTTTTCAAATAAAATATATAGCCGAGTTTGACGCATAATTTACCATGAATTCGGTACGAGACGAGAATGGCATCCTATGATGTCTTTGAAGAAACTAAAACCCTTTCTGTTACTAAGAAATAAAAGTCATGACTGCGTTTGCGCAAGAAAATTATTCAAGCTATACATTTAAGGGCTATCACTATGAATTACAAATTGAGGTAATTCAGACTAATTTGTTTCTGTCTATCATAAAAGATATGACTTTAATGTTAAAATAACATAATTTAGTTCTTATGGTTATTCTTCGATCATATGAAGTTTGCGAAATATTCAAGAGAAATAATTTTTACTATAGGCACAGTTGTGTCACAGTTCTCATGTGAAATGTATGCGATCGAGGAACGCTACAAGGTTAATCGGGTATTTCTTAGGACACTTGGACTATGGCCCTATCAACAATCGTATTTTACGCAAATACATAAGGTTCTGTTTGTTGGTATACTTTTGACATTTATTCTTGCTCAGGTATACCAAATCTAAAATTATGTGATAAAATAATGAAATTTTCTGAAATACACGCATTAATAGATACTTTTCTTTATTTTATCACATATTTATTATCTAGCATAGAATATATGATTTCTCTATTAACACTTTTATAATAAATTTTTTTAATTGAATTTTTCAAATATTTTTATTTTGTTTTTTATCGTGTAATAAAGTTTGTTTCACGTGTTA